TAACCCTAAACCCTAAACCCTAAACCCTAAACCGTAATAGGCTATAGTAAACCCTAAACCCTCATAACCCTAGTAAACCCTAAACCATAGACACCATAAGATGCGATGTTACTGCGTTCAACTTAAAGAGGCAACGCCCTAATCCTCAGGCAAACCCTAAACCCTAAACCCTAAACCCTAACGTAAACCCTAATATTGTGCATTGCTGGATTGATAGGCTGCAAGCTGGGGAGGCAGCACACGAAGGAGACAGCAGCAACCCAGGAGACAGCAGCAGCAAAGTAGAGGAGAGCAGCAGGGATGACTATAGCAGCAGCAGAAGAGACAGCATCGGCAGAAGAGACAGCAGCAATCCAGGAGACAGCAGCAGCAAACCAGACAGCAACAGCAAACCAGACAGCAGCGATGAGGGAGACAGCAGCAGCAAAGTGGACGGCAGCAGCAGCAAAGGAGATAGCAGCAGCATAAAAAATAGCAGCAGCAAACGCAGCAGCAGCAACAAAGGAGACAGCAGCAGCAACGCAAACAGCAGCAGCAAAGGAGACAGCAGCAGCAACACTTTAGACAGCATTGCCGGAGACAGCAGCAGCAAAGGAGAGAGCAGCAGCAAAGGGGACAGCAGCAACACAGAAGACAGCAGCAGCAAAGTGGACAGCAGCAGCAAAGGAGACAGCAGCAGCGAGGGAGACAGCAGCAGCAAAGGAGACAACAGCAGCAAAGGAGACAGCAGCAGCAAAGGAGACAGCAGCAGCAAAGGAAACAGCAGCAACAGCAAAGGAAACAGCAGCAGCAGCAAAGGAGACAGCAGCAAACAGCAGCAGCGGGGAGTCTTGAAGAAGACAAATAAATAAAAGCCGCAAACCTTACACCTGTCTACGTAATCTACTTCACCAGCCTGCTGCTGCTGCAGCAAGCAGCAGCAGCAGCAGGTGCCGCTGCAGCAAGTAGCAGCAGCAGGTACTGCTGCAGCAAGCAGCAGCAGCAGGTGTAACAGCAGCAGGTGCTGCTGCTGCTGAGAGTAGAAAGGGGGCGCTGCAAAACGCAGTCCTGCCCATAGATACAGCAGCAGCAGCAGCAGCAGCAGCAGCAACAGCAGCAGCACCAGGTGCTGCTGCTTCTGCTGCTGCACCTAACTGTCTGAAGAGCAGCGCATTGCTGCTCCTGTATGGCCGTAAAGGCAAACAATGCTTTCTAGGGTTTAGGGTTTAGGGTTTAGATATTGGAGGTTAATGCCGCCGTCGTCTCTGCTGCAGCAGCTGCTGGTGCAGCAGCTGCTGCTGCAATTCTGCTTCTATTTCATTTATGTCTTGCTGATCTTCCTCCTGCTGCTGCTGTTCCTGCTGCTGCTTGTGCTGTTCGTGCTGCTGCTGCTCTTCCTCCTGCTGCTCGTCTGTCTCCATGGCTTGCAGCAGCGAGAACAGCCCTGCCGCGTAGCACAAGGGTTTAGGGTTTAGGGTTTAGGGTTTAGGGTTAGGATTCGAGGGTTTACAGGCGGTCGTCTGTAGCGTCTTCTACCTCCAAGAGAGGGTCTAGGGTTTAGGGTTTAGGGTTTATCTTACTAGCAGTCTCATCAAGATTACAAAGAGACAAACGCAGCAAAGGAGAGCGCCGCAGCTGCAGCGCAGCAGCAACTTCAGCTCGCAGCAACCCCACCTTCCTCTCCACAGCAGCAAACACCTGCAGCAGCAGCAGCAGCAGCAGCAGCAGCAGCAGTAGTAGTAGTAGTAGTAGTAGTAGGAGCAGCAGCAGTAGGAGCAGCAGCAGCAGCGGAGTTGCTGCAGATAAAAAACAGCAACTCCAAAGGATGGGGGGTTGAGGCTATTCAGAGGGTTTAGGGTTTAGGGTTTAGGGTTTAGGGTTTACGTGGCGCTGCTGCGCTGGGTCTCCGTCTATCGCCAGCTGCACGTCTGCTACTTCATTACCCTTATGAAGCTGCACAGACACAACATCTATGCTTGAGGGAGCAGCAGCAGCAGCATCTGCTGCTGCTGCTGCTGCTGCTGATGCTTCTTCTGCTGCTGCTGTTATGTCGGCTGCGTCCCCATCCTCATCTCCTGCTGCTGCTGCTGCTGCTGCTGCTGCTGCTGCTTCATTCAGAGACAGAGACACCGCCTCACTCTCCCAGCTGTGAGGACCGCTGGGTATAAACCGATGAGCTGCAGCAGCAGCAGCAGCAGCAGCAGCAGCAGAAGCAGCAGCAGCAGAAGCGACGCTTGCAAAAGTAGATGCTACGCTGTCTTTCAGGGTTTAGGGTTTAGGGTTTAGGGTTTGGTGTTAGAAGACAGGGATCAGCCTAAAGGGTTTAGGGTTTACAGTGTATGGACAGATACAATGTGGATACACTTCGTTAGGATTTAGGGTTTAGGGTTTAGGGTTTAGGGTTTACAGTGTCTAGACAGATATCTTTGTAGTATTGTTCTGATGGATTGCTGCAGACGCCCCGATTTAATTTGCTGCTTTTTTGCTGTTGTATACCAGCGGCTGCTGCTGCTGCTCCTGCTGCTGCTCCGCCGCTTGCTGCGGCTGCTGCTGCTGCTGCTGCTGCTGCTGCCGTGCTTGCTGGAGCTGCTGTAGGTGATGCGCTCGCTCAAACTGCTGCTGCTACTGCTGCTTCTGCTGCGAAGAAGGGTGCTTCTCCCCCTACTGCTGCTGCTGCTGCTGCTGCTGCTGCTGCTGCTGCTGGGGCCGACAAGTAGGAAGGCAGCCGCTATTTGCTGCTGGTGTTGCTGCTGCTGCTGCTGCTGCGGCTGCCTGTTGAAGCAAATCCACCTTAACACCGCGGGCCCGAAGCTTCCTGCTGCTGTTGCTCTTGCTGCTGCTGCTGCTGCTGCTGCAGGAGTACTACAGGCGAGCTGACAGGGCAGCAGCAGCAGCAGCAGCAGAAGCAGCAGAAGCAGCAGCAGCTTCGTGTTTGCTGCAGGCATCAAGCCGGTTGGGCTTTGTTGTTGCAGTTACTGTTTCTGTTTCTGTTGCTGTTGCTGCTGCTGCTGCTGCTGCTGCCGACAGGAGACAACAGGTCGAGATACCCATCCGTGTCTGCAAACCCTAAACCCTAAACCCTAAACCCTAAACCCTAAACCCTAAGTTAAGAAGAATTTCCTACAGGAAACATTACAGATAAGCAAATGTCTTCTATGAAGGCCGCTCGCAGCAGGCTTCTAGCCTGAAGGCCTAGGGTTTAGGGTTTAGGGTTTAGGGTTTAGGGTTTAGGGCTGGTTCCAAGGAGAAGACCGGGTCCTTATAGCAAAAATAAGGGTTTAGGGTTTAATGCTATTAGCCGTTTCTTATAAATGAAATACACTCAAACCCTCTAACCTTAAACCCTAAACCCTAAACCCTAAACCCTCCCTCAGGTGGCTCCCTGGGGTCTTCTGTTCCAAACCCTAAACCCTAAGGCGTAAACCCTAAACCCTAAACCCTAAACCCTAAACCCTAGACTGGAAACCCTAAACCCTAAACCCTAAGCTGGAAACCCGCAACTAGTGCAGCAGAGCAGAAAACACCGAATGCCTCTTTATGCAGCAGCAGCAGCAGCAACAGCAGCAGCAACAGCAGCAGCACTAGCAGCAGCAAAAGTAGACCCAGCAGCAGCAGCAGGAACAGCAGTAGCAGAAGCAACAGCAGCAACGCCAACAGCAGCAGCAGCACCACCAGAGGAAGCACCGCAGCAACAAAACCCACAGCAACAACAGCGGCAGCAGCAGCAGCAGCAGAAGCAGGAAGCGTTTTGTTGCTGCGTTTGTTGCTGCAGTGCAGCAGACCCGAGGGAGGTCTCTCGTTTGCTGCTGTAGGAAAGCTGCTGCCGCTAAGCCTTTCTGATTGGGGTGTACGAGCTTTAGGGGGTGCTGCTGCTGCTGCTGTGCTGCCAGCTCTCTCTGCAGCAGCAGCAGCAGCAGAACCTCCTGCTCCTGCTGCTGCTGCTGCTGCTGCTGGCAGCAGGAGACGAGCCCCTTATAAACGAAACAAGAAAGACCCCAGCAGCAAAACGCTTATAGCAGAGGAATCCGTGAGTTGCAGAAACCCTAAACCCTAAACCCTAAACCCTAAACCCTAAAGTTGTGAATCAAACAGGATTTAGGATTTAGGATTTAGGGTTTAGGGTTTAGGGTTACCACATATACCCGATGAATTCATAAGCCGCATAAACAGCAACAAACCCTAGACCTTAACCTCTCGAACCAAACCGGGTTTAGGGTTTAGGGTTTAGGGTTTAGGGTTTGGACGCATTCAGGAGGCAAGAGACGAACACCGCGAGGCGGTGACTTTACGCGTCACGAAGAAGCTGCTGCGCTTCCTGCAGCGACGAGCAGCAGCAGCAGCAGCAGCAGACGGGGCCCCATCCTCCTCCTCCTCCTCAGCAACAGCAACAGCAACAGCAGCAGCAGCAGCAGCAGCAGCAGCAGCAGGTAGTGTTTGTATGTGGGCCTTGGCAATAGACCCGCGAGAGGGTATAGGGTTTTCTTCAACTTGCATGCGTTTGTTTGCTCTCACAACTTTAGTTAGACAAGGAAGCATTCGTCTTTATGCAGATGAAGACGGCATACTCACTGTACAGGTGCTTCAAGGGTTTAGGGTTTAGGGTTTAGGGTTTGGGGTTTGCGGGGTAAGGGGTTGGGGGGCAAGCGACAGCAATAGGAGTACCCGCTGCTTCCAGATACGGAGAGTTTAGGGTTTAGGGTTTAGGGTTAAGGGTTTACGGGGTTCAAGAGCCAGCAAACGCCTGCAGCTTTAAGCTCCTCAAGGGTTTAGGGTTTAGGGTTTAGGGTTTATTGCTGGTGCGGCGTTTGTCTTTCGCAGGCAGCGCCGGCTTCCGCTCCAACACCCAGCAGCAGCAGCAGCAGTAGCAGCAGCAGCAGCACAGCAGCAGCAGCAGCAGTAGCAGCAGCAGCAGCAGTAGTAGTAGCAGCAGCAGCAGCAGCAGCAGCAGCAGCAGCAGCACGAGTCAAGCTATACTGTCTCCTTTTACTATAGAGTTGTGGAGACAGCTGAGAGATGCTTTGGGGCTGCGCCCTACAGACAAACCGCTAGCAGACAGCGAAGAAGAAGAACCCTAACAAACCCTAAACCCTAAACCCTAAACCCTCCTTTCTTGGCCACGGTACCGAACCCGTGCACGCAATCAGACAAACGCTTGAGGGTTTAGGGTTTAGAGGCAGGTAGAGGCAACAGCAAACGCCTAATGAGGGTTTAGGGTTTAGATATTTAACCCTAAATCAGGGTTCAGGGTCTATATATTAAACCCTAAATTAGGGTTTAGAATTTAGAAATTAAACCCCAAATGAGGGTTTAGGGTTCACACATTTTAAACCCTATATCAGGGTTTAGGGTTTAGGTATTAAACCCTAGGTCAGGGTTCAGGGTTTAGACATTAAACCCCAAATGAGGGTTTAGGGTTTAGACATTAAACCCTAAATCAGGGTTTTTTAGGGTTTAGGGTGAGGCAGAGTGAGCGCTTCTTGGGATTGGTGCTGCAGGTACTGCTGCTGCAGGTGCTGCTGCTGCAGGTGCTGCTGCTGCTGGTGTGGTGTCAGCAGCAGCAGCAGCAGCAGCAGCAGCAGCAGCAGCAGAGGGGGCGGATGTGCGTACAGCATCAAGGCGTTTAATCGTTTTTAGCATTGCCGTGTGAAATCTGCACGCAAACCCTAAACCCTAAACCCTAATTCCGGTGCTTCCAGTGTAGGAGTATAAGCAAAACAAGTGTAGCGATGAGAACAGCAACAGCTGCAGCTGCAGCAGCAGCAGCAGCAGCAGCAGCATTGAAGTGTACAGGCACCTCTGTGCAGCAGCAGCAGCAGCAGCAGCAGCAGCATTGAGGTGTATACGCACCTGTGTATATCTTCTTCTGTGTTATAAACAGCTAAAGACGCTCGCAGCGAGCCAGCAACCCCAAACACTTCCTCGTGCAGCGGCTGCGCACAGTGGTGCCCTGCAGCAGCAGCAGCAGCAGCAGCAGCAGCAGCAGAAGCAGCAGAAGCAGCAATAGCCGGAGTAGTAGCAGCAGCAGCAACAGTAGTTGTTGTAGCAGCAGTGGTGATAGCAGCAGCAGCAGCAGTAATAACAGCAGCAGCAACAGCAACAGCAACCGCAGCAGCAACCGCAACCGCAGCAGCAGCAGCAGCAGCAGCAGCAATCGCAGCAGCAGCAGCAGCAGCAGCAAACATGCCTGCTCTGAGGTGTACATGGTGCCACTGGTCAGCACAGAGGGCGACATCAAAAGGAGACAGCCCCTCTATCGTAAAACTGCATATCGGAACTGTCTCCTTTTCTGCTGCTGCTGCTGCTGCTGCTGCTGTTGCACCGCTGCGGTGTTGCTGCCTCTGTTGCTGCTGCCTCTGTTGCAGCAGCTGCTGCTGCTGATTGTGCTGCTGCTGCTGCTGTTTGGTTGAGGGTTTTACTGAAAGAATCGTCGCTCTGGGGATATCTGCTACAGCCTGCAGCAGCGCCTTCGCAAGCAGCTTGTCTGCTGCTGCTACCTGCATGCAAACCCTAAACCCTAAACCCTAAACCCTAAACCTTAATTCAAGTAAACCCTAGAGCCATGTGCACGGCAGGCAGGGAATTCACAAACACCAGCAGTAAACCCTAAACCCTAAACCCTAAACCCCAAACCCTCATTGAATGCACTGCACGCCCGACAAGAAACCCTAATAAACCCTACTAAACCCTAATAAACCCTCATAAACCCTAATAAACCCTCATAAACCCTACTAAACCCTAATAAACCCTCATAAACCCTCATAAACCCTCATAAACCCTAATAAACCCTAATAAACCCTCATAAACCCTAATAAACCCTCATAAACCCTAATAAACCCTAATAAACGCTCCTAAACCCTAATAAACCCTCATAAACCCTCGTAAACCCTCACAAACCCTGATGAAGCCTCACGTTGTGCATGCCGAGTTGTTGAAGGAAGCCGACAGCAGCAGCAAAGCCAACAATCTGCGCTAAGGGCTGCGTACCCGCCTCAAAACGCCAGGGGGGGTCCGTGTAGCTGCTCTCCCTTAAACTCACATGCTGCAGCAGCAGCAGCAGCAGCAGCAGCAGCAGCAGCAGCAGTGATAGCAGTAACAGCAGTGATAGAAGCACCACCAATATCAAAGCCAGCGGCAGCAGCAACAGCAGCAGCAGCACTGGCACAAGCAACAGCAACAGCAATAGCAGCAAAAGGAGCAGCAGCACAAGCAGCAGCATCACCGCCACCACCAGCACAAGCAGCAGCAGCAGCACAAGCAGCAGCAGCAACAGCAGCACAAGCAGCAGCATCAGCAACAGCACAAGCAGCAGCACAAACAGCAGCAGCAGCAGCAGCATCAGCAGCAGCAGCAGCAGCACAAGCAGCAGCAGCAACAGCAGCAGCACAAGCAGCAGCAGCAACAGCAGCAACAGCAGCAGCAGCAGCAGACTTGTATCATTTCTCCTCCGTAGTTATCTGGAGGCATTTGCTGCAGCTTCGTTTTGCTGCCCCAGAGAAAACCGACGCCTGAAGGGCCGTACATCTTGTGGCTGCTGCCGACGAGGAAGTCAGCCCCAAGTGCTGCTGCATGCAGCTGCATGTACACCCCACAAACAGCAGCAGCAACAACAGCAGCAGCAGCAGCAGCAGCAGCAGCAGCAGCACAAGCACAAGCAGCACAGGAAGGAAACAGCAGATAGAGACGGTTTGCTTCTACTTCATGCAGCAACAACACACAAAATGATATCCAAGACTTTAAAAACATATTTATTGTAGGCATTACATTGCCAGGGTTTAGGGTTTAGGGTTTAGGGTTTAGGGTTTAGGGTTTACGGGGAGGTGGGGAAGGGCCTGCGCAGCATCCACTAGGGTTATGATGTTGGGGCTGAGCAGCTTCGCTTGCTGCAGCAGCTGCTGCAGCTGATGCTGCTGCAGCAAGCAGCCTAAGACATTTGAGGTGTATGCAACAGCAAGTACGCGAGTGCGAGGAGACAGCAGAGACAGTGCGCGGTGTATATCCAGCTCATGTGTCTCCTTATTTAGCTGCAAACACAAACCCTAAACCCTAAACCCTAAACCCTAAACCCTAAACCCTAATTTTCTTGCTGCAGCCGCGCACACGCACGCGTCGCGGCTGCACCGCTCTCAACGCCCACATGCACGTAGGAGGGATGTAGGAAACCTAGGGTTTAGGGTTTAGGGTTTAGGGTTTAGGGTTTAGGGTTTACGGGGATAATCTTTAACTTTGCTTTTCTTCTCTTTGCTAGTTGCTGCCAGGGGACGAGGTTTGCATGATGCTCCGCAGCAGAAACACAAATCTCTGATCCCTCTTCAACAAAAGCGTCCCTGAGACAAACCCTAAACCCTAAACCCTAAACCCTAAACCCTAAACCCTAAACCCTTAGTTGTTGGGGTAGTTAGTTTGTGAGAGCCGAGCGGACGCAGGGTTTAGGGTTTAGGGTTTTGCAGCTGTTGAGAGCCGTGCAACACACAGCCGTGCGCCGTGCTCTGCGCTAGACCTCAGGGTTTAGGGTTTAGGGTTTGAGGTTTAGGGCTTAGGGTTTAGGGTTTACCCCCAGGCCCTCGCGACGAGGTTTATGCTCGCTGTCGCTCCTGAGGTAAAAACGATTTCTTCTGCTCTGCCTCCGATGAACTCCGCTATCTTCTCCCTTGCCTTCTGAGCTTCACAAACCCTAAACCCTAAACCCTAAACCCTAAACAGGTGGCACAGGATTACTGCAGGCGGATCTGAAATTGAGTGAGCTCGATGTGAAGAAGGCACAAAGGAGAGAACTTAGGGTTTAGGGTTTAGGGTTTAGGGTTTAGGGTTTAGGGGGTACCTCTACTGCTTCTGTTGCAGCTGCAGCCAGTCGATAGGTTCCGCGGTGTATATTCGCATTCAGGTGTCTGTACACCCCAACTTCAGCCTGCAGCAGCAGCAGCAGCAGCAGCAGCAGCAAATGCA